CCCCCCCCCCCCCTAGCTAGCAATCCAAAATAGCAGTCCAGTGGAGCCTGAGCGTTGGGTGTTGCCCTCTGACACACTTCCAGCGATGTCAGGGGGATGTGGCATATGCGAATAAGTTATGCTAACGAGTTGTGCTAATGAGCTCCTGCACCTCTTTTTCTACGAAATGACCCCTACTTTTATCCAAAGCAGGGGTCTCGTTGGCAGCTGAAGGGTAGCCTAGAAGACGACCCAGGAAAACTATGATGGGAGAGAAGCCTCTCAAGACGTGGGAAGGCTCAATCCACCCCAGGGGGTCTCTCTCTTTGTGAAAGGAATGGGAACCACGGCTGCCCCTTCTTCAACCGTGGGTTTTGGGGTGCATCAATAGAAAGTTTGTCACAGGAAGAAGGAATTGGGACAGGGCTTCCACACACACACACCCCGCCCAAAAAACACAGATTTTCATGCAGAAATAAAGATTGAAAGGGTTTCCCAATGACAGGGCGGTCTGGGCCTCTGATTCACCATCACATGGTGTGTGTGTGTGTGTGGGGGGGGTACCTTTGTTACATTGAACCTGAATCACCAAGTGTATATCAACTAAAATAAGAGGAAGAAGAAGCAAGGTCCTTGCAGGTCCTGGCCCTTAGGCCAGGCTTAGAATCACAGAATCACAGAGCTGGAAGGGGCCCTACAGGCCATCTCATCCAACCCCCTGCTCAATGCAGGATCAGCCTAGAGCTTCCCTGACGGGTGTTTGTCCAGCCGCTGTTTCGACTGCCAGGGAGGTGGAGCTCACCACCTCCCCATGCAGCTGACGGCACTGTTGCACAACTCCGGCTGTAAAAAAAAGCTTTTCCTAAGATCCAGACAGTACCTTCCCGACCTTAATTTAAACCCATTCTTGCGAGACCTCTCCACTTCTGCCAACAGGAAAAGCTCCCTGCCCTCTTCTCAGTGACAGCCCTTCAAATACGTCAAGAGAGCCATCATGTCCCTCCTCGTCCTCCTCTTCTCCAGACTGTACGTTCCTAAGTCTCTACCTCCTCCTCAAGTACTGTTCCTGGTGGGTGCAACTTTCTAGCTAACCCTGAGTTCTTTGTCTGGGTACTGGTATCAGATGGTTCTTCCCAGGGCTTTTTTGGTAGAAAAAGCCCAGCAGGCACTAATTAGCATAATAGGCCATACCCAACAGCAGGAACTCATTAGCATATTAGGCCACACCCTGACAGCACAGCTCATTCACATATTAGGCCACGCCCCCATGTTACCAGAAGTGTGGTCATCCAGCCACACCCACCTTTTGCTTCTTATTCTCTTTACCTTGTTTGTTGTCCAAACCCAGGGCTTTTTGCATGTTAGGCCACACACCCCTAATTGTAGCCAATCCTAATGAGTTGCTGCTGTTGGGTGTGGCCTATTATGCTGATGAGTTCCTGCTGGGCGTGGCCAACTTGGGAGCCAGCCAGAACTCCGTTCCGGTGCGTTCCTGCCCCAAAATAGCCCTGGTTCTTCCTCTCATCTCTTCAGCCACAGGGCCCCCCACTATGCTAAAAGCGTCACTCGCGTTGCTGGAGGAACGTGGTATACCTCATAAAAATGGTAACGGTGATGCCACTCGCTTAGGTCCTTGAGACACGACTGCGTTCAACTGATCACAGCCAACATTCGCGTGTTGTCAAGAGTGAGTTTTCCGTTTCCCGGTTTGTTTTCCGTTTGTTTGTTTTTAGACGCCATCAGTAAGGTGGATCCCATCAGATTTTCTGCTCTTCCGGTTCTCCTCCTCACTTCAGTCACCGCGCAGGGGTGCCACGATCCCCAGCAAACCTCGTGGGCGATCAAAAGGGGCTCTCTTTCTCCTGGCAGGATATGACTCAGTGTTCTCCCAACGATGAGAAATTAAGCTTTTGGGGGCAGATTTGGGAGAAAAATATTAAAATGACCAATGCTATCACATATAAAGAGAATATGTATAAGATGTTTTATCGATGGTATATTACACCTGATAGACTGGCTAAGCAAAATATTAACTGTTCTGATAAATGCTGGAAATGTAAAAGGGGCACATTTTATCATATGTGGTGGCTATGCGATGTTACAAAAAAGTTTTGGAAATGGGTCCATAGTTTGATGGAGAAGATACTAAGAGCAAAGATTCCATTTACTCCAGAGGTCTTGCTGTTGAATATATTTCCAAAGGATTATGAAAAAGAGAATAGGTATTTGACTGTTTATATGACGACAGCTGCAAGAATCTTATATGCCAAATATTGGGAAACAATTATGGCACAATGGACTTGAGAACACAGAAGACAGAAGAATGGAAAGTGATAGAGCGTTTCTATTAATTAAGTAATTGGATATAAGAATACAATGTAACTGTACTTTCTTGGTATAGATGTTATGTGTAGTAGAGTGTCTGTTTGTAGTGTGTAGATTTGCTTGTTGTAGATTATAAAAGAAAAATTAATAAAAGTGTACCTATGGGTACTTAAAAAAAAGAAAGAAATTAAGCTTTATATTTTTAAAAAGTTACTTTCTTCTTCAGGACAACAGAAGTTACTTTCTTCTTCTTAAGAAGAGAACGACCAGAATTGCCAAAAGAATTGTTTAATAAAACTTAGATACAAATACCAACGGATATTGAGATACATTTACAAGGGAAGTAAGACTCTTAAAAATATTCTTCTGCACTTAGAAGGCTGTAAATAAAAATATAACGCAACTACCAACATCGAAACCCTTTCGTTCCTTCCTTATTTTGGCATCTTGAGAAGAGATGCTGGCATGGGTAGCAGCAATGCGTGGTGGGGCGGGCTCTTCAATTCACGCAAGGGCCGGAATGAAATACTGAAGGGAAACCTCCTCTTGGAGTAAGATGAAGTGAACAATCCTCTTGCTGACGATATCTGCAAAAGACAAGCCGTGTTCTGAAAAGATGCCACCGGGCCCCATATGCCACACCTGGTGGCTCACGAGCAGAGGCCGGCTCCTCTAGTCTGGGGGGCCAAGCAGCTCGGGGTTCAGAAACCCCCATCCAGGATATGATCTCTTTGCAGTCCCTGAGCCGTTGGCTGGGGAAAGTCCTCCCCCCCAAATGACAGACCCAATGGCTCATCCAGTCCAACACTCTGTGTCACACAGTGGGCAAAACTCAGGTGCCATCAGGAGGTCCACCATCAGGGCCAGAACTCCAGAAGCCCTCCCACTGACCCCCAAGCACCAAGAATACAGAGCATCACTGGCCCCAGCCTGGGAGTTCCTATCTATACCTTGTGGCTAAAAGCCACTGATGGGCCTCTGCTCCAGATGTTTCTCCAGTCCCCTCTTGGAGCTCTCTATGCTCAGAGCATCTTAAGAAAGGATGTCCAAAAACACATTCACACACGATAACTTGGGGACTTGCTCATACAGAAGGGACAGAGCGGGGCCTTCCACGAAGGTTCCATGATTGGCTGGCTACACGCAGCTCTCCAGGGCGGCGAGTAACTCATCGGAAGAAAAAAAAAAAAGAGCACTCACTGCACAGGGCTTTGGTGGGATTCACTTGCTGCCCGGCGAGGAACTGAAGAAGCTTCTTGATGTCAATACGGGCCTCCGCCATGCTCTCCGGATCCCTCTCTTGCGTGGAATCTTGAGAGCCATTCCCGGAAACTACAGATTCACACAAAAACAAACCGTCTGCTGATTGCAAAAACGCCTTTCGAGATCAGTTATAAATCACTCTGTGAAGAGCTTGAGGTGGCAGTTGGTGGGGCTTCGAGTTGACTGTGTGTACTACGTGCCAGAATACTTATATTCTTGTCACATCGACCCTGCAAGAGTGACCATTACTGTCCCCAATTTATATGAAAGAATTCTGACTAGTGTAACCTAACTCTTTCGTTAAGTAGGAGATTGGTTTTATACCCCGCCCTTCACTACCCGAAGGAGTCTCAGAGCGGCTTGCAATCTCCTCTCCCTTCCCCTCCCCACAACAGACCCCCTGTGAGGTAGGTGGGGCTGAGAGAGCTCTCTTGAGGACTGCTCTGGAGAGAACAGCTCTGAAGAGAACTGTGGCTTGCCCAAGGTCACCCAGCAGCTGCATGTGGAGGAGTGGAGAATCAAACCTGGATCTCCCAGATTAGAGTCTGCGCTCCTAACCAAACTGGCTCTCAGCAAGTTATGAAGATTGGATGATGTTCACATGGGTACCAGATTACTGCTCCAAAGCCACTATTACAGATGCTCTGTTCTGGGCATGGAACAGGGGTCACTGGGGGTGTGGGGGTGGAGGCATCTGTGAATTCCCTGCATTGCGCAGGGGGCTGGACTAGATGACCCTGGAGGTCCCTTCCAACTCTATGGTTCTATGATGCCCGGAACAGTCTCTGAATGACACAAAAAGGTCAGGGAGTGCCTCTGCGTGGATTCAAGTCTCTGGCCAGGAGGAGGGAGAAGGGAGAGCGGGTGAGCAGCAGCTCAGAGGCTGCCCACCCCCAAAGGGCTGCAACTGGCACTCTGCCCAAAGCGGCCACCAGAGCTGCTACAAGCAGCCAGGAGCTTCTGGCCAGGCAAGGGGTGGTTCCTGGGTTCCCGCGCGAAGCAGCCTCCCTGACCACTAACTCAGAAAAGAGGGACACCCACGGATATTGTCAACAATGTAGTGCGCGTTCAGAAAACGAGCAGCCACCACAGGGTAGAACTTCAGCCACATAATTGGTCCCTCCCGCCAAAGTGCCCGATTGTGTCCATCCATACCTGATTTCCCCATTTGTTTTATTTGAAATTACAATGGCGTTCAATCATTCCCTTCCCCACACTTTATTACTACTGAAGTTGGAGGGGGGGAATAAGAAGAAGAAGAAGAGATTGGATTTATACCCCACCCTTCACTTGGAGTCTTAGAGTGGCTTACAAACTCCTTTCCCTTCCCCTCCCCACAACAGACACCCCGTGAGGTGGGTGAGGCTGAGAGAACTCTGACACAAACTGCTCTTTTTCAAGGACAGCTGTGCCAGAGCTTGTGACTGACCCAAGGTCACATCAGCAGGTGCAAGTGGAGGAGTGGGGAATCAAACCCGGTTCTCCCAGATTAGAGTCCGCGCACTTAACCGCTACACCAAAAACAAGACTCTCTCACAAAGAAGCACAGCTAAACTTTCGTCTATGACATTCGGAAGAATGGTTGCAAATGTGGTTTCTGAAACAGCTCTAATGGTTTGAAGTGGCGATTTGCTTGCATGCCACCCAGTTAAACTTGTCCGATTCCATTACTTAAGGCCCCTTCTCCGAAAGGGGAAAGAAAAACCTACCCCAGGGAGGATTCCCAAGTTCTTTGAAATGGGTGGTGACAGACACGAGTTCGGTTTCTATTTTCAAGTTCATGTCCCCATTTAGATTTGCTTCTATTACCTAAAAGGGAAGGAAAACAATTGTCGTATTGAACAACCAGCAAGTACGCTCTGCTAGCTCACCTTTGTTCCAAAAGACATAGGTGGGCCTGAAAACACTGCGAACCAGAAGGGTTAAGCTGTGCAGAGCGTTTCTGCAATCTAATGCAACTGCGATGTTCAGCTATTCTGACCTTTACAGGTCTTGATGTTTGACCTAAATACAATTTGGCACATGGACAATGGATACAGTAAATCACTCCTTTACTTTGACAGTTACAAAACGTATTGATCATAAAAGTTTTTGTTTTAGCAGTATATTGAAATGACTTTTTAGACTCAGCACAGTAACACATTGAACAGTTCCCACAACAAAAAAACCCTTTAGGAATTCTAAAAAGTCATCTCAAAATACTGCTAAAACAAAAACTTAACCCTTCTGGTTCAATTGCTGAAATTAATAAGGATTTGGTATACATTTGTAATAATAATTTGAGTTTCTTTTCCCCCCCCCCCCCCCCCCTATTTTTATAATTTCAGGATACAACATCTGGTCTTTATATAAGTGTACTAAAGATCTTGTATACATATGTTTGAATGTGTGTCTATACTATGTTGTAATAGTGACCACTGAGGAAGGCCCTTTGAGGCCAAAACACGTTTGGTCTTCAGTTGGAAAGTGTTGCCCCATCATGTGTATTAATATTTGATATGCTTTTATTAGTCTGATACTTGAAAAAAAAATTAACCCGAATATATTTTAATATGTGTACAGCCTAATAAATTTTGTACTTTTATAATATATATGGTCAGCTTAACCCTTCTGGTTCACAGTGTTATCTTGGGTTGAGTCCCCCCCCCCCTTTTTTTCCAGTTTTTGGGCCTGAAAACATACCTAACAGAGACAGCAGCAACAGATGCATAGACGGGCAAATGTATCACACAATACACAGTATTTACTCAAACAGAAGACTAGTGTTATTTTTCCTGTTATGCCATCAAAATAGGGGGAGGGGGATTTTACAGAAATTACAATTAAATCCAGCAAGACTTGTATGTTTGTGTATATATCTTTTTTGGGGGGCTCCTCTTACATTCAGGGTTATCTTGGTATTGAGAAAATGCAGTACTGTTTGAGAGAGAGAGAGAGGAGGTTGGATTTATACTCCGCCCTTCACTACTCGAAGGAGTCTCCGAGCGGCTGACAATCTCCTTTCCCTTCTCACAACAGACACCCTGTGAGGTAGGTGGGACTGAGAGAGGTCTTTTGAGAACTGCTCGTGAGGGAACAGCTCTGAAAGAACTTGTACCTGACCCAAGGTCACACCAGCAGCTGCTTGTGGAGGAATGGGGACTCAAACCTGGTTCTCCCAGATTAGAGAGTTCTCCCCTGCAAGGCCTAACCAGGGCAGACCCTGCTTAGCTGCTGAGATCTGACGAGACCAAGGAAAGCTGGGCCACCCAGGTCAAGGCTGGTTCAAGGCGGAGGGCTGCTCCCTCTAAGCTGTGGAGTCTGGTGAGCAGAAACCCTACTTTGTGAGCTACTGGCATTAGAGCTGAGGGCGAGTGATTTGGCTGCTGCATCAATTACTTTGCTCTGGGACCATCCTTCCTGAGCTAAGACACGAACGTGTGAGCCGGAGACTAAAAAATTGTGAGCTAGCTCACACTAACTCAGCTTAGAGGGAACACTGGCAGCCAACTTCTGTGTTCCCAGAGACTGTTCGCTTCCCCACTGGGGGGGGGGCTGGCAGAAAGAATGGGTGGATCCCAAGTGTAGCTGACCTTGGTAGCTAGCCACAGTTTGAGTTAACAGTGGTACGGCTCCTTTCCTGCTAAAGGGGGCGTGGCTTTCGTCTCTCACGCCACGCCGCAGTTCACAGCCCAGGAACCTCCTTCCAGATGGGAACTGCTGAACTCTGAAGCAGAAACCCACCCTATGGAACGTGACCAGCCCTCCCTAGGCAATTCAGAACACAGATAACTCACTATCGAGTTGCTGAGGTTCTTCATCCTCTCCACGATGCTCTTCATGGTCTTCAGGACTGGTAAATAAATGCTGACCTACAAAAGAAGAAGAAGAAGAGATTGGATTTATACCCCGCCCTTCACTCGGAGTCTCAGAACGGCTTACAAACTCCTTTCCCTTCCCCTCCCCACAACAGACACCCTTTGAGGTAGGTGCTCTTTCCAGAACTGTCCTTGAGAGAACAGTTCTGACAGAACTTTGGCTTGCCCAAGGTCATCCAGCAGCTGCAGGTGGAGGAGTGGGGAATCAAACCTAGTTCTCCCAGATTAGAGTCCACGCTCTTACCCAAGTGCATTGGAGGGAGACATATACGTGCATCACAAGCACACCCCACAATATGACTGGCTGATGGCTTCTAGCCTCGATGGAACAAAAATCGACCGAAACCGATTTTAGAAATATCTCCAAGATGACACGAGACTCCTGGGAGGACGAGGTACATTTATAAAAGAGACGCTGCCAACGCTGGGCCCAGGTAGGGTATTATGGGCACGGTGGTCCTATAGGTGCATTCTCTTTTGGGAAGACATGTTTTCCCAAATGGTGGAACTGTGGGGCTCAAGGAAATCCACCCACTTATGCGGAGATACTTGAAAAGAAAGAAAAATTCAAGGTGACGTTTACGTAGAACTGTTATCAGGAGTTCAAATAGCACAGACGTGAAGATCGAAAGATATACTCAAGCCAGCAAATTGATATCAGCAAATTCTGGCTGATGAGTGGCCTTTTGACATGCTACTTTAAACAGAGAGGGGAGGATACAGTCCCACAAGACTCCACCACTTAGAGGGAACATTGGTTGAGAGTGCATTGGGGGAAAAAAGTTTTTTCTTGGGGAAATAAAAACAACAACAGCACTCACATCAAAATCGGGCACGACCGGCTCCCGGTAGTCACTCCACAGTTTTCTCGGGATCAGTCTTACTGGGATGTCGTGGGTCACAATGCGGCTGCTGCTTGACAAGGACGGCTACGGAGACGGAAAGATGTTAACGCAAAGGCCCTGTTACGTTTAGAGAGACCTGATCACGACGACGACGACGGCCGCTTTGCTTCGGATGACGTGAATCTGTCCTTTGTTATCCAGTCCATCAAAATCAGTTTTATCTGTCGAAGATGCTACTGCTACAGGCAATGTTCCCTCTAAGCTGCGGAGTCTTGTGAGCAAAAACTCTACTTTGTGAGCTACTGGCACTAAAGTGGTGAGCGAGCGACTTGGCTGCCGCATAACTTAGTTTGCTCTGGAGCCCCCCTTCCTGAGCTCAGACAACAAATGTGTGAGCTGGAGGCTAAAGAACTGTGAGCTAGCTCACACTAACTAAGCTTAGAGGGAACACTGGCTACAGGTATGGCTGAAGCTTCATGCATAGTAGAGGTATGTGGAACAGAGGGGGGGGGGAGATCTAGAACTCGATCTTTCCAGCTGTTGACTCCCCCACCCCCATAAAGGCCACTTCCGCACTCACGCAGGGCTCTTTTTGTAGCAGGAACTCCCTTGCATATTAGGTGACACACCCCTAATGTAGCCAATCCTCCAAGAGCTTACAGAGCTCTTCTCACAGGGGGTTACTGTAAGCTCTTGGAGGATTGGCTACCTTAGGGGTGTGTCGCCTAATATGCAAAGGAGTTCCTGCTACAAAAAGAGCCCTGCGTTTTGTCACTCGTTGGTCCCTATTTCTTCAGGGTCCCCCCCCCCATGTGTTTTGCTCTCTCTAGTAGTCCCAGAGGGAGCAAAACACGTTGGGGGGAGGACCCAAAGCAACAGGAACAAAAGACTGACAAAAATGAAAGCGGGGAAGTGGTCGAAGACAATAACATCGGAGGTAAAGCCGGGAGGGGGGTCCTCCCTCCTTGGTTTTCAGGATGTTAATGATCTCCACTCTTCAGAGGAACAAAAATGTTCATAAACTTGGACATTTATGAACTGCTGTTCCGAACGCATTACAGATAGCAAATATATGCAGAAAAGTCCTGGTGTAGGGCAGGGGGAAGTTCAAACTAGGGAGACTTCTGACAGGAAAATCGGCAAAACTCCAGATGAATCGCTACATTCTGCTTGCCGCTGGTAAAAATTCCAGAATAAAAACCCTCAATCGCCTTTTGCATGACTTGTGGTTGGTTTAGCTTTAGACATTTTCATAGTTATTCTGATATAATGGACTGTTAAACTTTCTATTTTTAAAAAACATTTTTATCGGTTTTGTTATATGTCTAAATATATATTTTTTGGACTGAAAGCTCATCTGTTTGTATTTAACGAATATGTATTATTTTGACAAATGAGTTGTTGACCGTAAATAAACTTTATTCATTCATTCATTCAAACTGCAGGGCCCTGTGCTTTTAAAGAAGGATATCGGTACGAGAGGCCCCAGAGAAACAAGCCACCTGCAGCAGTGGAGAGGACTTCTACAGAAGAAGAAGAAGAAGAAGAAGAAGAAGAAGAAGCAGAAGAAGAAGCAGAAGCAGCAGAAGAAGAAGCAGAAGCAGAAGAAGAAGAAGAGGATGAGGAGGAGGAGGAGGAGGAGGAGATTGGATTTATACCCCGCCCTTCACTACCCAAAGGTGTCTCAGAGCGGCTTACAAACTCCTTTCCCTCCCCCTCCCCACAACGGACACCCTGTGAGGTGGGTGGGGCTGAGAGAACTCTGACACAAACTGCTCTTTTTCAAGGACAGCTGTGCCAGAGCTTGTGACTGACCCAAGGTCATCCAGCCAGCTGCAAGTGGAGGAGTGGGGAATCAAACCCGGTTCTCCCAGATTAGAGTCCGCACACTTAACCACTACACCAAACTGGCTCTCCACTGATTGTGACGGGGCTCATTCAACCCCATTGGAAGAGTCTTCACCTCCTGCCTGGAGCTGATAAGGACGATGTCTCCTGGCACATTGTCGCAGCCGGTGTTGACACAATTAAAAACACGCAGACGGACTGAAAAGCGTCAGAAATGAACTCAGACGTCAATAGCGACTGTTCTTGCCTTACAAAAGAATTGCTATATAATACAGAGAGTAGGCGCAGATGTTTGCAAATGGCTCCAGACAGAGGGGCCCCGGGAACACAGCAGTGTCAAGGAAACATCTGGTGGCATACCTATAAAGACAGCTGTGACACAAGAACACCAGAAGAGCCCTGCTGGATCAGACCAGCGGTCCATCTAATCCAGCATCCTGTCTCACACAGTGGCCAACCTGTTCCAGCACAGTGGAACTGTCTCACATCCTGTCTCACACAGTGCCCAATAGGGCACAGAGGCTTTCCCCTGATGTTGCCTCCGGGCTCTGAGATTCAGGGTCTTAATGCCTCCGAATGTGGCGGTTCTCCTCCGGAACCATGGTTAATAACCACTGATAGACCTATCCTCCAT